TTATTCATCTTATTTTTACTTTCTTATTTTCCAAATTTCAGAAGAAGAAAATCCTCATCATTTGTTTTTTTTTTTAATGTCTTTTCAACTTATTGGGTATTTCAACGTCATGTTATTCCACATATCCGTTTATTTTTATTTCTTCTATTTTTTCTTAAATGACTTTATCACTGAATTTCATATAATTCACAAACTTGTATTTATCAGGTAAGTAAACTTGAATGAAGCCATTCTTAATGTAAACACTTATTTGAATTCGTATATTGGCAAAAAATCATTTCACATTAATTGCACCAAGTTTAAATTGTCCAATGGGAAGGTCAGATTTTAAATTAACGTCGTTTAATAAATCATTTTATTTATTGTAAAATTTGCATTTTTTTTCACAATGAATAAAAATCATTCAATTTATGATGTGAATAGCCAAGTTATGTGATTTTGTTAGATTTTAAAATAATGTGAAAGTGTCAAACATGAAAATATGGCAGATTTTAAATTACAATGTATAACTTTTGTATAAACCATTCTAATTATTCATAAAATTTGCATTATTTTTATAATAAATAAAAGTCATTCAATCACGATATGAATAGCCAAGTTATGTTATTTCTTGTAATTAAGAAATGATGTGAAAGTGTAAACATGAAAATATCCAATGACTCAAGTACAAATTGCTTGCGGGTCATGAAGAACACAATAATTTTGTTTTTCACAAAAATGCTCCACCTTCGTTTGTTGTCTATTTCTTAAACCTTTACAATCCGGAATTTGTCTAATATACTTGTTCTCTTTTGAATTTGGAGCAGTACGTTATTGAATATATAGGAATAGTCGAATTAATTTAAAGAGATCCTATTTATATTGCATAAACTTGCAAGACTGGCCAGGTTCTCCAACGCAGTAATCTCCCCTTATCAGTTCAGAGACAATATAATCTGCAAAGGGAGGTAATCACTGTGAGGAGTTTATCAATAAGACACGCTAAAAGTTGACGTGAAGTCTTAAAATGCAGAGAAAATATTCCTGTCTTTTGAATGGTTTACTCATTTTCTAGACTATCTTTCGTTGAAAGAAATGCATAAATTTGTTATTTGAACTTATGAAATAACCCAATAATTTTGTATTTCGTTGAAAGACATGCATAAATGTGTTCAGTGAAATTGTTAAATGAAATGGGATTTAGCTCAATACAGGATTGGAGCAGTACCTCTAGACGCGTGCAGAAATCATGGTCACAAAATAGACAAATATCGTTTTTTTTGCCGATTTTTACATTTTTCATTCATTATCATACATAAATCGGTGTGAAAAAATGAATTAGACCTATTAAAGTTCATTCCGTTTGGTAAAAAGGCAAGATTTAGCATTTTATGATTCAAGCGCCTTGTCCGGTATATACCGGAATACGGTATTTAGTGTGGTGCTCCAATCCTTTTTTCAGTCTCACTCAATGAAATGACCCAAAGACTTTCGCTCAAATTGAATTGGATTATTAGATGGTCAAATATTATTATCAGATACTGGTAAAATCGTGTTGATTTTCTTTTATATTTCTATAACAGCAAAGTGATTGGCATTTCTTTCAAAATCATGTCTTGTCATGCCATGAACGCTCTCGCGGGCGCTTCTTAATTTCAAATTAATAAAAATGTTAAGATCTACTAGAAGAAGTACAAAGGGTAGACTGGTGAACGGAAGCTTGCACCATGAACATTCTCAATCAAACCAAGCCAAGTTGAAGATTGAATTCCGCCAAAACCGGTGCTAGGGAGCCTTATGAGATGTTGCATTTTTCCATTATCATGCACAGACCACAATTTTTATGTAATTTTGTTGTTTGAAATGCTTCCGAGGGATCATCTTTTTTCCAGATTTTTGCATTTTGGGTAAAAAAAAGAAAAGTGTGAAAGCGTTTTGGGATTCCCTGTGATTCGAAACGTTCAAACCCACTGTATTTCCGGTCTACAATTTTCAAGAAAAGTAAAAAAAATTAAATCATTTCGAGCAATTTGCGTAAATTTTATCTGAGTGAGCAAGTTGTGTTAGTAACTTAATTAAATTAAATATGCCACTGTATGTTGATATTAAGAAATACATAGATAAATTAATGGCTACAGTCGGATGAAAAGTCAGCAAAAAAAATCTTTAGGAAAAAATGTCAAAATATTTCAAACAAAAGTAGTAATCTCTTGCGTCTCAAAACACAAGTATGTCTTTGACACTTCGGTTAAACCAGGGTCTTTCAAATATAATTTTGAAAGACCCTGGTTAAACCCAGAATTTTAAAGACTCTTAAAACCTGTAAGTGTTTGCAAAGCTTTATACAATGTTTTTATGAAACATGAAAGTGTAAAGAGTTTTATACGAAACGATATTTGAAATGTTTAACTTGATTGTTTTGGAGGACTGGAAAACTCGAAGAAACACTCGAGATGAAAATCTAAGTTGAAGTTTAATCTCTTGACGAAAACCCGAGTGTGTGTCAAAACTAGTATATAGTAATATCAAAAAAAGGTTGTTAAAATTGAATAAATAAATATTTAAGTTTCTCAATTGTGTTTAATATGTAACATATTTTTCTAGGACATTTTTATTCCTTGATAAATGACTCTTGTTTCTGTCGATGGTCCATCAACATAATTTAGTAAACACTCGAAGTGTAGACTTTTCGTTTCGTCATTTATTATGGTTCTTGTTCAAAAATTGAATGAGGTCAGACTTTCTGCTTATATGTACGTATTAATTAAACAATACTTTGGCAATACACTTGTAAGAGTATATGTGTATATTAAAGGAACCCCACTGAGGTCCACAAGCGTAAGAGGCCCATCATTCCCCAGAAATGCTTTTAATTTTTATTTTCACTAAAGCTTTTATTTTGAAGTCATACAATAGTTTTCAGGCGTATTTCCCGAACCATATTTTGCTTCCTTGCTTTTTAGCAATTAGTACAGCTAGAGTGATTTAGTATTTTGTATGGGAGTCAAAATACTACTCTGTTTACATTTTGCTACTTTTATTACTTTTAGTTTCAGTGCTACTTTCTTCAGGTCATAAATATCTAACATGTTTGCTTTTAAACCATCATTTAAGCAGTTTATTTTATGCTTTTCAGTGGATTACTGATTTATTCGTGAAAATTATATTTGATAATTTCACAGTGAAAATTATCAAAATGTAATTTCACACTTTCAATGACGAAACTATTTTCTTAAGATTTTCCCCATGTGGTACCTCAATTTTATTTTTGCTGACAATTCTGACAATGTCAGGCTGTTCAGAGAAAAGCAAAGCTGGAATTTATAAATAGCTTAAAAAGAAGAAAACTTACTTCTATTCATTCAAATTACCAATCACAAAATATCGTCTCTTTTTTTTTGTTTCATTTTTACAGTCTGAAAAATATATTCATTCCACATGCAAAACTGCTCTTGATGACATTTGGGCAAATATTAAAGTATCCTACGAGCAATAACTGCCGTATGCATGTATCAAGGAAATTTCGTTCTAACTTTTTTTTAAGCATAAGATAAAAAGAAAATTTGTTTGTTTGTTGTGTAAGATGTAATTTTACTTCATCTCGTGAACTTTAAAAACAGTATTCTCACTCATGGCTACGCCACTCGTGAGAATACTGTTTTAAATCCAACTCGATGAAATAAAATTTCATCTTACACACAAACAAACAAATATCCTATATATAATACGTACAGTGCAACCTTTTTACAAAAGAATTCCATTCCTTATTAACCATTTTGATTGAATGTACATTTAAAAACCTTTTAAAATTGGAAATGCACTAGAAATTTAAATTATGTTTATCCAATTTTTAACCTACAAAGGTCAAAGTTTTTATGACAAAAGAAACAACATACACCCTTTTAACAAAAGAAAAGGGTAAAACAGAACGAAATTTTATTTTAAGATTTCACATGGCTTTACCTTTCAATTTTTACAAATTTTAAAAATCTTTCAGTTAATACATTTATGTAATAAAAAAGCTATCGCCTTTCCCTCATCAAAAAACAGCAAAAAAAAAAACTGGGGAAAGTTATTTACATCTAAAAAATAAAAATGCCCGTTGAATTTTAAACGCGTCTGAAAAAAATTTATTCAAAAATAAAATAAAAAAACGGTTTTAGCTCAAACCCTTCAAATAATTACACTAAACCCTTTTTTTTAACAAGATTAAAGAAGACAAAATGTCAGACGAAAGTACAAAAATTAGTCATTTTTTGTGTTTGCATTTCGTGGCATAAGAAAACGCTTTGGTAGAAGGGACTTTTTTTATTTTAAAGGGAAAATGGGGCGGTTCAAGTATGTAAATTCAACGCCCCTGTAAATTGTAATGTAAGAGTTTAAAAAAGAATGAAATTGATTTTAAGCTATTTCGGCCCAAAAACCTTTGGTCCCCGGAAAATCGATCCCTTTTACCCAAATCGGGCCGATTTTTATTTTAAATTCAAGTAAATAAAAAAGTTTTGTCACATAAAAAAAGAACAGGTCTTAACGTGACACTCCCCTTTTTTGAAATTTGAATATTAAATTTTAAAGGGGTTTAAATTCTTTAGCTTTTTGAAACATTTATTTTTTCCTTTCTTTTTAAATTTTCACTACCGTCCGTTTTTTGAAAACTCCGAAAAAATAAAATGCACGGCCGTGCATATATTTTGACTGGACGCCATTTTCTTGCATAGCAGACTGGCGTTTTCGTGAGTTTTACCTATGCTGGAAATTTCATCTTGGCATGGGGTGGGGGGGGGGGGGCAGATGAGTCGCGTGCCAAACAACAACGTCATTTTAAAATAGCGCACTTTATGAATGAACCGCGTTAAAATGACGTCGTTTTTAGAAGGGAAATATGTGCTTAGGATGACGTCATTTCGCCGTTGCTATTAAAGTTGTAAGTTCATATTCTTTTGTAAGAAAATAGCTATGGAGGAAATGACTTTAATTTCCGATGAACATATATCATATTGAGGTTAAACCATTTTAAATAT